GAGCATCTCTGCAGTTGAAAAGGTGAGGTCTTCTTTAATAGCAGTTCTCATTCCTAAAAGAATTAGTGGGAGGGCTTCGACCCATTTTTCTGCGGCATAGGCTCTAATGGACGATTTTAAGTGTCGGTGAAAGAGTTCGACCATTGAATTAGCTTGTGGGTGGTAAGCTGTTGTTCGAGTTCTGTGTATACCCAGCATTCTGGATAATTGTGAAAAAAGTTCACTTTCAAACTGTGCCCCTCTATCAGTAGTTACAATTTCTGGAACTCCAAAGCGAGTTATCTAGGTATTCAGTAGGGCAGCAGCAACAGTTTCAGCAGTGGTGTCAACAATTGGCGTTGCTTCAGGCCAACGCGTGAAGCGATCAATTGTTGTGAGACAAAATCTAAAACCTTTTGATGTAGGAAGTGGTCCGACGAAATCAATATGTATATCGCCGAACCTACAAAAAATTACAAAACATTTTAGAAAAATATATAGAATTTTCTGAAAAACTAGAAAATTATTACAAAAATGAAGAAAAAAAAATTTGAAACACTGGAAAATTATTAATATTATGAATTATTTTTTGAAAAACTGGAAAATTAATTTCTTTAAAGAGAAAATTTTTTGCAAAAACATAAATATTTTCTTAAATGATAGAAAAAAGTTTTATAAAAATAAAAATATTTTCTGAAGAACTAGAAAATTTTGTTAAAATTTTGAAATATTTTTACACAACTAGCAGATTTTTTACGAAAACAAAAAAATATTTCGTTAAAAGAGAAATTTTTTTGCAAAAACGTAAATATTTTCTTAAAAGATAGAAATTTTCTTATAAAAATAAAAAAAAATTCTGAAGTATTGGAAAGCTTCCCTAANTTTACACAACTAGCAGATTTTTTACGAAAACAAAAAAATATTTCCTTAAAAGAGAAATTTTTTTGCAAAAACATAAATATTTTCTTAAAAGATAGAAATTTTCTTATAAAAATAAAAAAAAAATTCTGAAATATTGGAAAGTTTCCCTCAATAATAAAAAAATTTCTGAAAAACTAGAAAATTTTGTTAAAAAGTTTTAAATATTTTTACAAAACTAGCAAATTTTTAACAAAAAGTAAAAATATTTTTCTTCAAAGAGAAAATTTTTTGTAAAAACATAAATATTTTCTTAAAAGATAGAAAACTTTGTTAAAAAGTTTGAAATATTTTTTTAAAACCGGCAAATTTTTAACAAAAAGTAAAAATATTTTTCTTAAAAGCGAAAATTTTTTGCAAAAACATAAATATTTTCTGAAAAAATGGAAAATTTTGTTAGAAAGATTGAAACACTTTTTTCATTGTGAATACTTAATACTGCTTTTTTGGCTGCTATTTTGATCGGAAGAAGTAAGTAACTACTTGCTCTCAAAGGATTATGTCTTGCTGTAAACATCTCCATACTTTCCACAATATTCATCCTCCATCCTGACCCCCGCTCTATGAATTCGTCGAAAGAATTTCGAACTTTCCGAAAAGCTTGAGGTATATGGGACTCGACCACATCTTCATAGTTTCCTAATTCTCACTCACACAAGTTACGGAAATGACCAGTAGTAGTAGTTTCCTCTTCTCCATCAACGCTTGTTCGAATAAAATTTACTCTGCATATCACATACCATTTGATAGATCGATTTTCCATTAAATCACTTTCAATTTTCTGTTTAAGTTTTGGATGCGTTTCATCAAAGAATATAAGTAAATCACCTGATGCTACCTCACTTGGAATAAGAGATTCTTTCTTAAACACTTCCAATGCATTTTCACAATTCTTTTTGATCTTTTTATTGTTATTTGTGGAATGATCTATCTTCCTTTTTCTTGAACAAGACGGCGTGTGATTGGAACGGATATGATTGAGTAAATTAGATTTTAACTTAAAGGATTCACTACACAAATTAAACTTATGCGAAACTAAATGAGTCAGTAAGTGTCTCTTTAAATTATCATTTCGACAAAAGGTCTTTTTACATTCTTCACATTCAAAAGTTTCTCGATTTTTCATAAGTTTTTAAATGTCTATTCAAGTTACACCTTCGATTAAACCATAATTTAAAGTTATACAAAATTTAACAAGTAAAATTTCAAAAATAAAATTTGCTATTTTTAACAAAAAGTAAAAATATTTTCTTAAAAGAGAACATTTTTTTTGTAAAAACATAAATATTTTCTTAAAAGATAGAAAATTTTAAACAAAAAGTAAAAATATTTTCTTAAAAGAGAAAATTTTTTGTAAAAACATAAATATTTTCTTAAAAGATAGAAATTTTTTAGCAAAAAGTAAAAATATTTTCTTGCATGATATCGATGTCAAATCCTTTTCATTTATACACGTGTTTAGAATACAAAAGTTTAACTCATTTACGCATATCTTAGCAAGCATTCGTAGGTCAGTGGTATTGATATCCAACTAATGACCCACGAAGGTTTTTTGATTGGCGTGAGTTCGAACCTCAGCCTTAATTATATTTAATAAATAATAAAACAGATTTAAATATTAAAATTGATTTATCGTTATTTTATTTCTCTCATTCCCACATAGATGGCGCCACTAGAGTAAAGCATGATATCATTTATTTATTATGTAATAAAAGATGACGTCATTACTTCATAATGTACGATTTCTCCCCCAAATTACAAAACTTATAAGTATTGCCATCCTAAACAAGTAAAATAATATCAATAAGTATTGTCAAAAAAGTAATAAATGAAAATAATATCAAAAAACGAAACTAAATTAAAAAACAGAAACCGAAACTAAAACAGGGCAGAAATAAGCACACGGAAAGAAATAAGCTGACTTCTGGTTTACGACCTATTTTCGTTTCTCACCCGGGCAGAGATAAGCACCCCTTGACTAGATAGAGATAAGAACCTCTAGGACCTCATGATGACGTCACTTCCGTCCCCTATAGTGCGTGATCTATTACTGACAGATTTATGTAAATCATATGAGAACATCTTAATTATACAACAAATAACATACCTGCAATTTATAACAGTTAATATGAGTAGAATCAATCCGATCAGAAACCACCTTCAATCCCTAGCAGCAAAATAACTTGGACCAATATTCATGAATCTTGGTTCAGTAAGGGTTCAAAGGGCCGATATTTTACAGACACTTTACAACCAATATCGGTTCTTTGTCAGATTCCCCCAATATTTTATATCCATTATTTAGCTAATGAAAGCTCTATATTGGCCAGTGTACTCCCTATATAGGCCTTTCTAGGACTTCTTACAGGACCCATATCGAGCCAATTTTTAGCCCAACAGGGGCCAAGATAAAATTATTGCTGGGGATATTTTTTATCAATCAGTAAACAGGATTGAAACTTACTTGCTATTAAATAGATCTTATTTCACCTCATGTAACCAAACCTTATTCACTTTCAATAATAGTCCAAAAGCATTTCTCTCAAGAACATAGCTAAATAATTGACATATTAGCTCTGAAACATGAACGAGTTGCAATTGTTATTAAAAGAATGATCGGTATTTACTCTCAATTTTTAGACAACACCAAATTGGTATTCTACCTATGGGTCCCCCTCAAATAGTCCTCCAATTTAAGATCAACGTCAAAATATTAAACGAGTCTCAGTAAATACCGAAATTACATTTTATTTCGAAAATTGTATTATTTAAGTCACTATATTTTTCTTACATTATGTATTCATCGTCAATATTAAATTTAAAAGTTATTTCTTACATCTTTAAAATAATAAATATTCTCTTTCAGAGAAATATTGAAGAAGTGAAAAATACAGATTTCAGAGGACGCCATACCGAGGAGAGAAATTTTCGTCACAAGTTCTCCCTCATTATTAATTTAAAATTTGAAAGGAAGAAAAAGTAAGTTGAGGCAAACCTAGAGTTTGTCAAGAAGTTTCAATTGCTGAAAGAAATACTTCCAAATATTAAAATGCAAACAAATTATTGGATTTCTCCGTTGCGTAATCATCTCATAATTTATTTTCATTTGTATATTTTCAGTACTTGAAACTTCATGGCAGTTTGTCTGAACTCACTTTTTCTACATTTTAAATTAGTAATGAAGGCGAATTTGCGACTTCCGCGATATTGCGTTCTCTTAAGCATTCAGAGAAGTTCCTTGAATTACAAAAGTTACTCTTTGTTACCTATTCAGAGTAGATACGTTACATGAAGAAGAAAAAATGCTTTCAAATCCTAAATATTGAAGTGTGTTTTAAAAAACCTGTCTCTTCGTCTTTTGTAAGGAATAGACTCAAATAATTTAGTTTGAGGCCTTCATTGACATAATTAATGTTTTGTTTCTCTTAAAATCCATCCCTAAACCTATATTTTAAGGGTCAATAATTTACTATGACAGGCTTTCATTGACTTAATTAATTATTGGCTTCTCTTACAATCCATCCCTAAGCACTGGTATATTTCAAGGGTCAATAATTTACTATGACAGGCTTTGATTAACCCTTTAACAGTGACATATATTTCAGAAAAATGGACGATTTGTTTGATTGTTTTGCTTTGTTCTTGATTATAAAGGTTAGAAAATGATTTTTTATGACAAAAATAAAGTTTTAAATGCAATAACTATTGTATTTATAATTTTTACATGCACATAAAAAAAGTAATGGATTACACACACATCTTATTTAATTAGAGCAAATGAACCAAAATTTTGAAGCGAAATATAATACTACTAGTATAATATAATATTAAAACACAACAAAATGATTTTCAATACATAAATTTTAAAAACCTTTTACAGTATCCCAAAACCCCCACTCTCGACTGAAGACGTAATTGATAAAAAAAACTATTAAAAAAATAGTGAATTAAGTATCCTAAGGTAGAAAAGAAGCCAGCTTCACACAATAGAAACGTTCGGGTATCACACACTGGCATTCATTACCTACATATTCTATGAATGGTTGAAGAAGTAATTATAATGAACTTGTATGATTTCGCTAAAACCATGTACCTTGTTGCAGGAATGGCATGCAGGCAGCCTGGCTACATGGAGACCTCATGTCAGTAAGTGCCCTACTAATATCCTCCTCCTCCTGCATGAGTTGCATGGTTGTGGCGTGGTCCTTAACTAACCCTTATTATTTGTTTCATTTGATTGTGCATTTACTTGATAATAAATATTCCTGCAAATAATTAAATCTTTCAACAAAAAATAACTACCTTTTAAGTACTTTAGAAGCACTCAAAAAAAGTTAAATTAACAGAATGCAAAATAATTTTCAAAGAATTTACCTGATCATGATAATATAACTACAATCCCTGGCCAAAATATTAGACTCACTATAAGATTCAATTTAAAATCTTTATTATCAGGGGATAATATACAGCTTTATTGTTTTTATGTGACTGAAACCGGTTTGCACTTGTTTATGTTAGTGTATCAATTCTTTAAATTAGACGATAGATTATATAAATTTGACGATAGGATAAATTAGACGATATATTACATAAATATCGAATGTTTATAATATCAAGCATTCTGTTAATATATTATAATAATTGGATCTCATTAACAGACGCACTGAAGTTTTTTAACAGTTACATGATTTGCACGAGCTTATACGCAATATTTTTATGTTTAAACATGCATGTAATGGGTTTTTATTCGGGAGATTTTTTATATACTTATATACTTCCTATTTGTATTTATTTTTAGCGTATTGCATTGCAACGTTAAGCAATTGATAGAGGAGCGCAAACAAATGCAAACCAAAATTCGGGAGATTTTTTAAATACTTATATACTTCCTATTTGTATTTATTTTTAGCGTGGACTGTATAGATATAAGAAAACGGAGGGGCATTTAGAAACATTTTTTTTTGTGGAAATAATCACATTTTTAAACTACCAATTATAAAAAGCAGCAATTGGAATGCTTCTTGTTTATGAAGCACTTCTTGATGTGGAACCTAAAATAAAACATTAACTTGAATCTGCATTATGTTAAAAATGTTCAAAAATGTTTATTCAGTCCAGGCTAAATTAATAGAAGTTACTGTAGCTTTTTTTAAAATAATTACATGTTTTGCACGAGTTTATATGCAATACGATATATTTAAACATACATGTAAAGGGTTTTAATTCAGGAGGTTTTTCATATGCTTCCTATTTGTGTTTATTTTTACGTATTGGATTATAATGTTAACCAATTGATATGTTACCGTTAAAGTATGAAATCCGTTATTTTATGGAATACCTAGTTATTCCATGAAATAACTGATCGTGTCCGTTAAAGTGTAAAACTCTCTTGTATTTCACGGTTTAACTAGTTATTTCATAGAATAACGATCTGCAGCCCGTTAAAGTGTAAAATAATCTACATCATAATCATATATCTCGCACGACAAATACATTTTTAACCATCCACCCCTACTGCATTTATGAGCTATTAAAAAAAAAATGTTTTTGTTTTAGAAATAATGTTCTTTGTAATTCCAAGTGTCATTTTAGTAATCCTTGTTGTAACGAATGATTTTCTGGTACGTTTCCATAAATACCATTTATACGCTGCATAAATTAGAGAAATTGCTTCTTTTTCATTTTAATTGTCTATCATTAGTTTATTTACAGAATACTTAGTTATTTCATTTTAGATCAATTGTTTATTTTACACTTTAACTGTCTCTCATTAGTTGATTTATAGAATACCTAGTTATTTCATAGAATAACTAGTTAAAGTGTCAAATTAATAACATATTACACACTTTAACGGACATGATCAGTTATTTAATGGAATAACTAGGTATTCTATGAAATAACTGCATTATATACTTTAACGGTAACAGATACACGAACTTAGACAAGTGCATACCGGTTTCAGTCGCGTTCTCGCGTGCGTTATTTTGCGGACGCGTTTCTGTGGTGTGTGTGCGCAGTTTTATACCACGCAATTATTATTTATTTTGTGTGCAGTTTTTAAAAAATTAATTGAACATTTTCGTCATGGGTAAGAAGGCAATATTCCACCATGTAAAAAAACTGAAATAAAGGCCCTCGTGAATGTTAGAATATTTCTAAACCGCAAAATGTCACGAAAATTGAAGGTTCCTGAAGCTAGCGTACGACACATAAAGAAAATAATTGAGTCACAGGAGAACTGAACCCGAAACGAAAGAAAAGATGCGGCAGAAACTTATCGTGCGTTTTATAATTTGGCCAGGGACTGTATAAAAAATAATAATTGGCATAAAACATCACGTTTTTGTCTCTTAGTTATATTACCAACGTGTATATTATAAATTACTATTTTACAATATTATTTTAATTATTATAAAAGATAAAAAAAATTTCTCTTCTGTTACTATTTAAGAACTCTTAAATAAAGCTATTTTATTATTATTTAAAGTTTCCATTGAATCTACTTTTCTATATTTTATAATATACTATAATTAAATGTTACATGCCATGCACTCTAATCAAATTTACACTGTAAATCACTGCTTTTTGTTCGCAACTATATAAAGCAATTAATCTTAATAAATGGAAGATAACAGAGTGGGAAAATTAGCAGTCAGTACTTGCAATGCAAAAGTATTGAATTTTTGTTATACAAGTATTGATATCATCCTATATTCATTTAGATAAACTAAATGTAAAGAAATAATAAATCAAAAGTGGAGGGATTTTTGCTGAGATCGCTATTGAATATTATGCATTAATTAAAATAAAACACCAAAAAAAAAGAATTTTTAAAGTATTTTTTCCTTTTCTTATAGTTAATATTAAATGATAAAAACTATCAATCTTACAATTTTAAAATTGCAATTGCTAAAAAAAATCACTTTCTAATATGAAGCCATAACTGAAACAAAAACATCACTATTCTTTTTATTTATTTCTTATTTTTATAGTTAATATTAAATCAGAAAATTATTAGTATTTCAATTACAAAACAAAAATCGATATTTTTGACATTCCACTTTCAGAATGTTTTATTAACATCTACACTACGAACTCATAGTGTACCATTAAATTTTATGGAAAGCTTTTATAGTAAATTTGAAAATTGACTATAGAAAATATAAAAAGTGTGATTTGATCGAGAAACTTTTTGCCTTTGTCTGAACTTTTCAGATAACTTTTTTTTTGTCATTATTTTTTACACTACCTATTTTTTCAAAGTTAGTATCAATAAAAAAAAAATTTTTATAGTTGTATCCGGCTAATACATGTGAAACAATGAGGAAAAACAATTTAAAAATAAATTAACATGTGTCTCTTCCCTTCTTTTACACTTTGTTCCACTCTGTTACCATGAGCGTGGTTACAGAGTGAAAGGGTAACAGTGGGAACTGAAATTCAATTTACTTGGATTTGTTTCTTGAAAAAGGAAAAAAAAGTTTATACAAAAGTAAAAAGCATTACTTAATCCTACCATTAGAAAGTTAAAATAATATTAAAAAAATTAATTAAAAAAATTATGCCAGAAACAGAGGGGAAAGTAAATAAAATATTATTATCTTGTTCATGCTTTATCTTCTTAGAGAACAGAAATAATACTAAATAACTTTTTAAAATAGAAATAATAATGATGATAAACAGTTAAACATGTATCTCTTTTCTTCTGTTACACTTTGTTCCACTCTGTTACCATGAACACGATTACAGAGTGGACTGCAATTCAATTTACTTGGATATATTTCCCAAAAAGAAAAAAAATGATACAGAAGTAGAAAGCATTATTTGATCTTATTATTGGAAAGTTAAATTCATATTAAAAAAAATCATTTAAAAAAATGCGTCAGTAACAGAGAGGAGAGTGAATAAAGCATCTTTATCTTGTTCATGCTTTATCTTCTTAGAAAACAGCAAATATATTAAACAACTTTTTAAAATAGAAATAATAATGATGATAAACAATTAAACATGTGTCTCTTTCCCTCTGTTACACTTTGTTACGCTTTGTTCCACTCTGTTACCATGAACACGATTACAGAGTGAACTGCAATTCAATTTACTTGGACATCTTTCCCAAAAAGAAAAAAAAATGATACAGAAGTAAAAAGCATTATTTGATCTTATTATTGGAAAGTTAAATTAATATTTAAAAAAATCATTTAAAAAAATGCGTCAGTAACAGAGAGGAAAGTGAATAAAGCATCGTTATCTTGTTCATGCTTTATCTTCTTAGAAAACAGCAGATATATTAAACAACTTTTTAAAATAGAAATAATAATGATGATAAGTAATTAACATGAGTCTCTTTCCCTCTGTTACACTTTGTTCGACTCTGTTACCATGAGCATGGTTACAGAGTGGAATGGTAGCAGTGGGGACTGCAAGGTCAGGATCCATGAAGTCAGGACCCTAGTCAAAATTTTTGATGGTTTATGTTGGTTTCAGTGCAATTCATGATGGTCCAACATCATTTAATGTTCATCATCGTCAAGTATTTTCCATTATGCCTTCATGGTTTTTGATATGCCAACAAACTTCCATCATTTCAATGATGGAAATGTTACTTTAATGCCCTGATGGTTAACCATAAAGAGAAGTTTGACTCTTATTGACCTTCAATCTATGATGATCAGTGAGGTCCTTGATGGTTCCAACTATACATTTTCATGATGGTTTAATGGAAATTCTTGCTGGTTCTCAGGAATATACCATCAATTTTTTTTTCTTCTTTTCTTTTATGTTGGCCCATCAATCATCAGTCTGAATTCCTGCATTGGGATGATGTTGGTTCATGATAGTTCCAACATTTCATTTATAAAAAACTATGATGGAAATTTCTGATGATTCAACATGAAGAAACCATCAAAGCAAGTTGCAATTCTTATGTTGGCCCATCAATCATCAGACCGAATTCCTTCATTGGGATGATGTTGGTTCATGATAGTTCCAACATTTCATTTCTAAAAAACTATAATGGAAATTTCTGATGATTCAACATGAAGAAACCATCAAAACAAGTTGCAATTCTTATGTTGGCCCATCAATCATCAGTCTGAATTCCTGCATTGGGATGATGTTGGTTCATGATAGTTCCAATATTTCATTTCTAAAAAACTATGATGGAAATTTCTGATGATTTAACATGAAGAAACCATCAAAACAAGTTGCAATTCTTACGTTGGCCCATCAATCATCTATCCGAATTCCTGCATTGGGATGATGTTGGTTCATGATCATTCCAGCATTTCACTTCTAAAAAACTATGATGGAAATTTCTGACGATTCAACATGAAGAAACCATCAAAACAAGTTGCAATTCTTATGTTGGACCATCATAAATCAGTTCGAATTCCTACATTGGCGTGATGGTTGCTTATGTTGGTTACCGTCAAAAAATATCATGGTTCATGATGGAATTATTGATGGTTATCATCAAGAAACCATCAAAAAATTTAACTTGGGGATCCTTACTCAAAAAGTATCCTAATCTTAGTTTTTGACTTTTTGAGACTGTTCATCCAATGGTCCAAGGTACAACATATGGTGAATCAGAAGTATTGTATTTTAAACCGATTTTACTTACTTTAAAAAATATTATTTCTAAAGTGTGTGAGAAAATTTTTTCACAAAAAATTTATACTTACAGACAGACGTATTTCCCTCAACTTTTCTTAAATATAATTAAAACTCTTCCCTATCTATACAATCTCCTTTATGACAAAAATGTAGGTAATCCTCTTTACCAATCAGGTTTAGGCCGACCGAAATTATCAAAAGTAAATGGAATTCAATGCATAAAATCAAAAATGATAGAAAATGTGCTACTGTTTAATGTTTTTTATGTCCGATTAACCTGTTGCGTATGGCTGGTATAACATGTGGAAAAGATGTAATGGTACAGCATGGAACACCGTACGTGAAAGGTTAAAGGAAAAATGTGTTATTTTTTAATGAATTGAATGTAAGTCTTTTTAAGCAGAAAACAACATAAAAGTGTTCCAACATTTGACCGACAAATTTTAAACAAGAAAGAAAGGCGTGAAAAAGATCTTTCTTAGTATATGGGGTTCAAGTTGAAAGGTTAAAGACAGGTCACGCTGGAAAACTTTCCGTCGTTTATACTGGACACAACTCGAAATGCATGTTTGAGAAAATGGACACAGCAAAAAATTAGCCTTTTCAATGTTCAACCCAAATTTAACCCAAGTTGGTTTATCAAATGGGAGAAATCGGGAGAATCATTCATAAACGAATGTAACATGAACACAGCAAGAAAATGGACACAGCATAAAATGAATCTTCTAAATGTTCAACCCAAATTTAACCCTAGTCAAGTTAACCCAAGTTTCTTACTTGAGTATGAATTTTCCTGTGGAAATTTCATACCTTCCGAATCAAACGAGCGTTACGCACGATCATGCTTGTGTATTACAATTGTTGAAAGGTTATTTGTTTCGTATTGTATCAATTTATGTACATATCAAATTTCATTAAAATCGGTCCACTAGTTCAAGAGATAATCGACCAAGTCTGCTCTTAATCTCTTACACCAGTGTATTATCTGCTCAAAAATCAAACTTTTCCACAAACTAACGTTCACTATGGAGGCAGAACGTTGGACGGAAACAAAGACGTCTTTCAGGAAGGCACTTTTTGAAGGCACTATAGGACTGAGATCTTAGAACCCTATCTAAGATTGTTCAAGGTAGTCCTCAGCTCAATTTTATAGATTACAAACGCTTGTCTACACACCTGTTCGAGGAATCATTGAAGCCGAAGAATTTCAGAGGATGGAGTGGCCAGCCAGAACTTAAAACCTCATAGAGTGTGATGCTTTTTAAAAAGCACCAAAACAACTCCCAGTGATAAGAACTGCCTTAAGGGAAGATTTCCTGTTACAAGACCTTACATTTATTATCCCAAAACATATTTTAATTTCGTAAATAGCTTTTGTTATGAGTCCTGATTTACCGTCTGCGAAGGTCATACTCAATATTAAACCCTTAACTAAAACTGTATTATTTATTTATTTCCTTTTATTTATTTTATTTTATTTATTTATTTCAGTGCGGTGTCCATTAATTTATTATATTGAATTCGTGACCGTCTTGCTATCATTGTTTTGGGATACTTTGGTATATATTTTCAACTATAAATTCAGTGCAAAAAAATGTGTTTATCTCTTAATTTTAGGAAATGAGGGTAAATAAAATTTATGAAATTTCTGATGTATGCACAAAAAATGTGTTTAATTTTGATGCAATTCAGTCAATGTGAAAGCTTAAAATTTGATTCTCAAATATGAACCTCAAAGTATTTTTTCTACAAAACTGTTTCGCATTGTAAAATATCTGTACGAAAACAATTTTTCTGCACTAATGCTTAAAATTTAATAAATTTCAATTTCTTTTAATTTCCTAAATAATCAGATCATATATGCTCTCTTCCACGTCCTTGAAAAAGGGTTTTGGGCATAAGGGAAATCTCTCCCAGGTAGCACCCATGTATACATTACTTTCTTGTAACAATAATTATCACTCAGCCTGAATTCGACAAGCAATAACTATCAGATAATCTGTGATCGCTTTTGCATGCTCAACTGATAAGGGTATATAATCAGTTGAGAATCTATTATCAGCTCTAAAGATATAAGCTATATCCTTAAGAAGCCAATTTCAGCATCCAGGCACAATAAATGTTTGGTAAATGAAGTGCAGAAGAATCGTTCACTTACCCAATGTAGAGAAACTGGATACTCATGTATTTCTCTTAAGGAAACCAATTTCTTTCTTACGAAGCAAAATAGTATTAGATTAGGTTGAACCTCTCAAACCTAAAATTAGATGAAACGATTTCATTTATTCATGTTCTCCTCCATAAAGGTTCGTAAGAATTTGATAGCAAATGTTTTTTTTTACCCTGCATTTATTCATATATCTTTGATTTTAGGTGAGGAGCGAAGTTGGACACTCCCAGAGAGTCATCGGTAACCCTTTACTCTCCATATCAGAAGTAACAAACACACTTCTTAATCATGACTAAGACTTTATAACACCTTTAAGAAGCATCTTAAATAGAGTTGGACACTTCCAAGGAGTAACTGTTTGCTCGACACTACATTTTCCTTATTCAGGAGCCTTCAGTTAATTAAACCCTCAGTAACGCTTCCTTGTCAGAAGTAACAAATACCCAGCCAAATTATAACTAAGACTTAGTAAATCCTTTCGGAAATACCTTAAGGAAATAGGACATCATACCACACGTAACAAACACCTTACTCAATCTTAACTGATACTAAGCAAATTCATTAGGAAGAACCTTAAGGGCTCTTATAGACAGTCAGCGGTAGCCATTTAATCTCCCCAAAAAAAGTAACAAATACCTCACTCATTCCTAACTAAGGCTGAGTATATTCTTCAAGGAGAACCTTAAGGATATCGGGATCTCATAGACATTCAGCTCTCCCTATAAGAAACAAAAGACTCAATCCTAACTTGGACTAAGCAAATTCTTTGTACCTCGATATTGGTCTCCTATAGACAATCATCACTTTATCTCTCAAATTGGAAGTAACAACCTTGACTAAGAAAAAACCTTCACCTTCATTAGAAAAATGATGTCAGAACTTTTAAATTTGATTGCAAAGAGTTAATCAAAAGTAAAATTAAAACGCTGCATTACAGTCTAATAATTTTGAAATAATAAACGTATTTTTTAAATTGGCTTGTGTATATTTCGATCAAAAAAAAAAATTTTTTTTTTCAATTCATAAAATTACTTTTCTTAATAAGATTTATCAGTTGTCTCATTATTTTTCCTTTCGTAATTGCCAGACACCCAAAAAAAATTCAAAACTTATTCGCAAATAACCACGTTTCATAAATTCCTAAGTTTTAAATAAAAAATTAAAAAAATGAATGAAAAAAAAAGAAAAAAGAAAGAGAGTAAATTTTCAGTGTAAAATCTAATATCTGTATATAAGATCGTTAATTATAAAGAACTGAAGTAAAAAAAAAAAAAAAAAAAAAAAAAAAAAAAAAAAAAAAAAAAAAAAACGCTTATAGCGTAAACATTAATTCCTATTGCAATGAAAAAATATTTACTTAAATAATAAGCAAACGAATAGTGACTAATTGTGTTACCATAACGGATAATGGAACTTAATAATGAAAATAAAACATTAAGCTTTTTAAAAAGTTACGCATGGAATTTCATTAAATGGTAATTCTTTTTCGTTACATGTAAGGATAGATTAGCACTATTTCATAATATAAATAAGCGTTTGCACTTAATAGGGGTGCCTTAAAGTAAGAATAAGTAACAGAGGTTTGTAAAATTTAAATACATTTCAGAAAAAAAATTGATTGAAAAAAATCATGTTTTTAAAACATTAATTGTTCATTAAACTTAGCCCTCCGCGTACGGCTTTCGCAGTTGGGGAATCAGTTTTGTCCCTAACTACGGGGAACGTGAAAATCGCAGAATATTTCCCCTTGTTTCAATACTGATCCTGTTATTTCCCCGTGTAGGTTAAAAACATCATTTGATGCTTATTTTCGCTGCTAGAAGGCATTAGAGGGTTCAGGAATTTTTTCCCCTCATATTTGTGAGTTTGCAAGCTTTTTGTTTTCCTGTCGCGCGATAAGCATTTATGAAAGATACGGATTTGCCGAGCGGTGATATATACCGAAGAGCCATTACATTATGACCACCCTCCATCTATCACAATGGGCTCGCCCAGGATTTCATTGTTTCTCGCCCAGGAACAATGTTTTCATGGGACACATTAGGACCCATAATGCTTATAGAACAATCCCTGACGTCTGTAAGCTACTTGAACATAGTTGCAGACCAGGTTCACCCATTCATGGCAACAGTTTTTCCTGCGGGGGATGGTGTTTACCAACAGGATAATGCACCATGTCATAAGGGTCGAATCGTCGAGGAACATTCCAGTGACTTTCAAGTCATGTCCTGCCCCCCAAATTCACCTAACCATAATCCAATAGAGCATTTGTGGTCCTACTTGGAAAACCAAATTCGTGCTGCCTCGCTACCCCCTCGCAATGTGAGGGAATTGCAGGACCAGTTGGTGAGCGCTTGGTACCAGATACCTCAGAATACTTATCAGCACCTTGTGGAATCAATGCCACGGCAGGTGCTAGCAGTTTTGAGAGCTAAAGGTGGTCCTACATGTTATTAGCAGGGTGGTCATAATGTAATGACTCTTCGATGTATGTGGGAATAACAAACAAAAATATCTTGATTATGAAGATAGTAATTCCATAAATCTGGGCTTTTATTTCTTTTCTATATTTTTACAAAATTTCTGTAACATTATTCGAGACAAAATGCTTAAAAATTATATTCATCTGAAAATGAAAATATCGCATGAATTTTTTCACTTATAAACCCTACCCGCTGAAATAACGGGGGCCGTATTATATATTTTTTGAAAACGTAAAAGCTTTTAAAATTCTTGTATTATTTTAGAACAACTGATGAAGATGAGAAATGTAACATATGTAGATAAAGAAAATATAAAAAAATCGCCCCTTATTTCAGGACTGGAAAGTATTAAAACTGAGGCGTGCGCGGAGGATTTTGAAGTAATTTTAAATATCCAGAAATAAACACACGTATAATTTCATTTATTTACAAAATAAAAGCTATTAGCTAAAAAGTTATAAAAGAATTTTAAACTCGATAAACAGTTGAAACAGTTGTTTTACTCTAACATATAACTAAATAAGATTCAACAAAATTGTTTAATGTCTTAATTAAGTACATAACTTGCGGGAAGTGACAAAAAAAAAAAAAATAGCAGGCAAACTAAATTAAAGTGGTTTAAAAAATTATAGTACACAACATGTTATTTTTGTTTTAAGTTAAAAAGTAAGGCAAAATTACGCACCCGTAACTCACATACAAAATTTTTTAAAAACGAGATTAAAGTGTTTAATAAAATTTCAAATTTTAACAAGTTGTTAGACGAATGCCGCCAGCAATAGGGCCGCAAATAAACCTCATTTCAAAATAGTAAAATGAGATATTACGGCAATAATAATTTTTAGTGCATGTGTTACCGTGAATGACCAAAATCAAGAGAATGTCCACCGGTGAATGTCAACAATCCCATTTTGGTGAATGTCTGAAATATTTGTTATATCCAATTTCATTTATTTGCTCATATTTATTTCGATCTGCTGAGTATAGATTAGGAAAAACATCAGTGTATCGGGCACTTACCAAAGCCCCGATTCGATCATTCAACAATTGAACCTGGTAATTATAAATTAAAATTGTTTAAATTATTAGATATGGCTCTTAAAGTATATAGCTCTATGGGGGGAAATATACAGTTCTCTAAAATATATAGCTCTATAGGAAAAATTTAAGAAATGTGAAATAAAGAGTCAAAATTTTGACTTTCATAGAAATTTCGTTTCTGTAAGTGGATGCTCCCTTCCCAACTCAAAGAAAATTATATATAGTGTTAATTAAAAGAATTAAATTAATTAAAACTAATTAAAATTTAATTAATTAAAAGAGTTAAATGTGAGACATAAAATTATAGAGTGTGACTGTAATATCTAGGTGTTTTTGTCTAAGAGATTTCAGGCAAAGTATTACATAATTTANGAATATAATTAATTAAAACTAATTAAAATTAATTAATTAAAAGAGTTAAATGTGAGACATAAAATTATAGAGTGTGACTATAATATCTAGGTGTTTTTGTCTAAGAGATTTTAGGCAAAGTATTACATACTTTACTGAGGCATTGTATACAGAGTGTTCTGTAAAGACCACCCTTAATTTTCCTCATAAAAATAAATACCAAAGAGTCTCGCAAATTGCACCAAAAAAAGTGTTTAAACACGAGTAAATGATTCTGATAATATATATCATCATCATCTGATATTCATCATTTCCTTATATTGTAATCTACTAATAAAAACACCTATTGTCAGAAGTCGTATTTAGTGGCTAAAACAACATATACTTTCTGAAAAATAGCAGATTCTATAACTATACCAGATACTAGTAGGGTATACCAGCAGTACACGTTTTTCTGAATTTTGCACGACCGTAAAATTTAAAGATAGAAGAATCACTATGAAAACCTATTTGATTACAAGTTGAAGGCTAAATAAAGGGAATTAAACAAATTTAATTTATTTATGTCGCACTACAGATGGACTCACCTCTGAGGATGATCCTTGCTCTTCAGAGGGTTGAAGAGCTCATCTTCTACTGTGTCTTACCATCAGTGGGGTTTAAGGTGTTTCCTACAACCAACTTTTTGAATTTCCGCTTATTCCTTGCTTTTAACAAGAATACCCATTTAGGGCAGTAATTGGAGAACACCCTTTATACCATAATAAGACTACAAAAGTTCCAACATTATTTTAAAGAAATAATGAAAGGCGTTTTATCTATGTTATTGACTCTATTGGCTTTGAAACTTCTGTCGAATGCATTTTGTAGAATACAATGTGTATCGTAAAAGTTTCTCTTAATATATATTTTTAGAAACAAGTATACATATCATGTGTATACTTCATATGGAACACCCTTCATTTACGAAAAGTATCCATATTAGATATTACAAATTAGTATTCAATTAATATTCAACAAAACCTCTATCGAAGTCTATGGAATCATTAGTGAGAAAGGAAGCTTTAAAATTACTTTAATATCCTAATGAAACGTCAATTCCTACATTAAGCAAACACATATTGATGTTTGTCCTGCTTTTCTCAGTAGTGATTAGTTTAATTTTGAATAGGTTTTAAAATTTTTCTTTAACTTAAATATTTATTTTCTGCCCCTAACTGTTTATTTTTCGTAATTTACATTTTGACAAGGATTCTGAAAATATATATTAAGAATGGTCATTACAGAACACCCTGTGGGTGTGTACGTATATGGGTGTGCACATTGCAGAAGTTTTCAAAGCAGAGAATCCCTCCAGTCCGAACATTAACATTATTCATTTATTCGAAATCAACAAATCGTATTACGTGCTCAAATTAGGTATATGAGGCAAAATCTTAATTTTTATTGTAACAAATTTTTCTTTGTGTTTGTATTAAATCAGTACAAGATTCTAGCATCAAAAAAACACTGAGTAATAAAAATATTAAATTTAACACTTTCGAAATTCCCATTCAACTTATTTCTGTAAAAGTTAATATAATAAAGTATGTTTTTATGGAAATGATTGCAACAAATATTTAAAGTTATTCCTTGCATTGTAACCTGCACATCTTTTGAAGAAAAGTGTGCAATATCTGACTTCTGTACAATCTCCCAGTAACGCCCAATGTATTTGTTTGTGTCCAAATATTGTAAAAAGTTTGTAAGATATTTTATATATATTTTTTGTAAAGTTTATCTATTCAAACATATAGATTCTTTATGTATATTTTTAGAATCCTTATCAAAAAAGTATACACATTAAATGTCGTTCATTAGTATTTAAGCTAGAATAAAATCTGTCGAATCACTATTGAGAAAGTTGGGGTGAAAACACGATTTTGATTGGAACTTGAAGGTGTTTTTTTTTACATTGTGAATTTAATATAATACCTACACAATTTTTGAAGTACAAAACAAAACATTCTCTGTACAGTAACAAAAGTTGGGCACAAAATCTCTGTTTTCTCCAATAAACAGACTTATTTAGTTGTGATTTCAAAATTTTTTCTCCTTTAAATATTTATTATAT